ACAGGAAGCTCGGATGGGTTCGGGACCAATTTTTAGCCCCCCCCCCTATTTGAGTACACCCCCTCAATGTTTACGGATTCCGCATCCAACGGTACCAAACAACGTGTCATTTGGAAGGTGTTTTTGAAAAATGTCACAAAAATTGTCACATTTGTGAGATTTTCTGCCCAACAGAAATCCCCCACACCTTGACGCTGCGGAAAACACCTTCCAAATGACACGTTGTTTGGTACCATTGGATGCGGAATGCGTAAACATTGGGGGTGTGTGGTCATACACGGGGGAAGGGATACAAATCGGTCCCGAACCTATCCGAGCTTCCTGGCAAAAGTTATTCAAGGAAAACGGGATTTGCCTCAAACTCGGTGGGCATCCATATAGAACCTGGTCTGGGTGATAGCTTAGGCCCCAGCCTATATGTGTGTGAAATGTGGGCCCCGTGGCGGTCTGCCTTGTTACTGCAATTGGACTTTGAAAACTTGAAATGGTCATAAGTCGTTCCAACGGGTGGGCACACATACCCCACTTGGTGTGTGCGTTGCCCCCGCCCTCCTGAATGTGCCCACCGAGTGTGAGGCAAATCGGTTGTGCACATTCTGGACAACTCGTTTTCCTTGAATAACTTTTGACAGGAAGCTCGGATGGGTTCGGGACCAATTTTTAGCCCCCCCCCTATTTGAGTACACCCCCCCAATGTTTACGGATTCCGCATCCAACGGTACCAAACAACGTGTCATTTGGAAGGTGTTTTTGAAAAATGTCACAAAAATTGTCACATTTGTGAGATTTTCTGCCCAACAGAATTCCCCCACACCTTGATGCTGCGGAAAACACCTTCCAAATGACACGTTGTTTGGTACCATTGGATGCGGAATGCGTAAACTTTGGGGGTGGGTGGTCATACAGGGGGGAAGGGCTAAAAATCGGTCCCGAACCTATCCGAGCTTCCTGGCAAAAGTTATTCAAGGGAAACGGGATTTGCCTCAAACTCGGTGGGCATCCATATAGAACCTGGTCTGGGTGATAGCTTAGGCCCCAGCCTATATGTGTGTGAAATGTGGGCCCCGTGGCGGTTTGCCTTGTTACTGCAATTGGACTTTGAAAACTTGAAATGGTCATAAGTCGTTCCAACGGGTGGGCACACATACCCCACTTGGTGTGTGCGTTGCCCCCGCCCCCCTGCAGGTGCCCACCGAGTTTGAGGCAAATCAAGGTGTTTTTGAGAAATGTCACAAAAAATTTCACATTTCTGAGATTTTTCTTGACCAAAAGAAGCAAAAATCAGAAAAAAGCAAAAAAATAAGATGTGCTGCTATTTTTTTAATCCTGATCTAGTCGTTCTGCTCTCCTACGCTACCTGTCTCTCCTACCCTACGCTACCTGCCTCTCCTGTGCTATGCGATACTCCTACCCTACGCTATACTCCACTCCTACCCCACGTTTCCTGTCTCACTTACTATGAAGTACCTGCCTCATCTACTGTTTACTACCTATCTCACTTACTATGAACTACCTGCCTCAATTACTCTGCCTAACTCAGCTACTCCGAGTCTTGAACCCCTTACATGCTAAGCAGCAGACCTGAACTCGACACGGGCGCCTTAATGCCGAGAACAGACCCAATCCGGCCACCAATACATATAGATGAAGACCTGTGCTCCGGGCGCATTTGTCTTCTTAATTTTGAGTAAAGCACTTTAAAAATCACTAGGACTCAAACACACAACCACAGACTTTCTAACGTGTCTTCTATCCCTCTACGCCATCTGCCCTGAGGCATTAATGTTTCGTAGAGTTTATGGCCTGTTCATTTGGGATTTTGGGCCTTAAAGATTACTGCACCTGAAAATCTTCAAACCGACAACCTTCAGTCTCACAGTCAGTGCTCAATCTGATCCAATTGACCCGTGACTGTTACATCTCATTTGGTAAATTAATTCTCCACTTTGGGTGGTTAGACTTAGAAAATGCATGGACCTCATGAGGATCGAACCCAAGACTCTTGTTCATCTGAGCAGCATTGTATCCCACTGAGCTATTTCATTTGTGAAAGGATTGTTTGGGAGATTATATCACAAAGAAACATTTAAAAAAGGAACTAAAATAAGTCATAGAGCAATCCATCAGAAAAAAAGTGTTCTTGTCATACAATTGTGCCACCAACATTTTTAAATGAAAAACTCTTCTTTATGCTTTTTTCACACCATTTTGGATGTTTTACCTGAAAACCAGTGCAAATAAAGAGAATTGAACCAAGAAACTCCGGCCATCAAGGCAGTGTTCTATCCCAGTTAGCCATTTGACCTGGGCCAGTACATTTCCGTTGGTAATCTAATTCTACACTTTGGGTGTTATATTTGAAATAAATCTCTGCACCTCCTGGGGATCGAACCTAAAACCTCAGTTCTTCTGAACAATAGTGTGCCTCACTGAGCCATTTGATCTGAGACTTTGGCTTGGTGTTTGGTAGACTTTCTGATACAAAGAAAATCTCAAAAAGCCATAGTAAAGTCTGAAAAGCAGTAATAGTATAGTATGTCATACACTTGAGGCACGAACACATGTAATTGAAAAACTCCTCTCTTTGCTTATTTGAGTTCATCATTTTAGATGTTTTACCTGAAAAACCATTGAACCCTCAACCTCCAGTCTTCAAGGCAGTGTTTTATCCTTGTGAGCCATTTGCTCTGAGCCTCTTCAGCCTCAGTATACTATGATTCCCAAACAATTATGTTCCCTATACTTGATTACTGATTATATTGTTCTAAAGTAGTGCAGTCATTTAGTACATCAATATGTTATATCTGTCAAAGTACTGTCCATCCGCATTATGCCACTTGGAGAGCCTGACTGAAGTTTTTGTTGTTATCCTGCTTTAAGGTTCTAGACAGCGGAACCATCCAACAGTTAGACCGGCCCTTTAACCTGCTGCAGAACATGGTTGGAAAAATCACTGCATCTCATGAGGATCGAACCTATGACTTCAGTGTTTCAGAAAAGACTTGTATCTCTCTGAGCTATCAGATCTGAGATTTCTGGTAGATTTTGTGTCACGACCTTTGCATATTTTAGTCATTTATTATGGGTATTGGACTTTAAAAACCCAAGTATCAGACTTTAAAAAGCCAAGTATCGAACCCACAACATCAGCTCTACTGAGCTTCCTCATAAGTCCATGAGCTATATGACATCTCAAAATATAATAACCTTTCAAAGTCATTTTCTTTGTGGTCGACCCAAGTAGGAACCAAACACACAACCTCACCTCCACAGACCACACATCTTCCACTCTGAGCTATATGACTGAACACACTTCATAGTTGTTAGGGACACATTTTTTTCTTCTACTGTGGGAAATTGGACTCATAAAGTTACTGCACCTAATAAGAATCTAACACATAACCTCAGATCTTCAAACCAGACTCGTATCACTCTGAGCTGTATGATCAGATGTGCTTTCCTTATTTTTGTTAGATCTTTTGATTACTTATCTTTGGCTATTGGATCTAATGATACATTGATACAAAATATTGCACAATGTGGGAGTTCAACTCACAACCACATTTTATTCTAAAATATAACAACTGGCAAGAAACCCAATAGACCCCAGGATAAGAGAAATATTTCTGATTACGATTAAGACTCAGTAAATATAAATAACAGATATAATCGCATGATTCGTTTTTTCATCTTCATGATCTTGGAGATCTCCTTCCTCAATGGAAGCAGAGAATTACAACATTCACACACTGATTTTAAGAAAATAAATCTTATCACAATTTGCTGTTCTTGGCACTGGGTTGCAAGCAAACCAAATACTGTGTGTCCAAACAGCAGCTCTAACGATAGAACAAAACATAACGGCTGATGCAGCTTGTAGTCGCTGATTACAATTGGGGAAAGTACTGTAGTCCGTTAAAGTTAACCCCAGATCTCCTTCTATGGCAATACGACTATATACATGGTCTAAACCACAAAGAACATGTCAATTGTATATAATCCTATATAAATTCCATCCTTATTTAATATTTCACTTATGAAATGTTTATTTTGCATAATAAGGTTCTTTCAATCACAATAAATATTTTTTATTTCTCAAGTATTTAATTCCCAGAAAAAAAAGAAGAAGTAAACATTACCATGTTTCCTTTCATAGACTAGTTATTGTAACATAAGTCTGTCAGATGGTTCTTTGCCACACAGCTCCAACTCATCACCTGGGGAGGGAAATATAAAATAACCCTGGACTGGACTTTAACAGATTGATATTGAAATATCCAGTTATGATGCAGCAAATGTTTAATTGAACCTAAAACAAACAGGTGATGCTTAATACTACCTTTAACTTGTTTCACAATGCTAGCATGACACAGCTGAGGATTCTGGGAACTCTTCGTTTGTTTATATATATATATATATCTAAAGATTGCTAGATTCAGTGCATTTACGTCTGTTAATTATAGTAAAGTAAATGCAAAGGGCTCTAAACGTTTTGCAATTCTTAACATTGTTATTAATTTGAATAAATGAAACACCTAAGTTTCCTATCGTTCCCAGTAGAGCACACATTTGGTTGGTTGATTTATGAGTTATGGAGGATAAAACCATGGGATTGCTTAATCTTCATAAACCAGTAAGTACTGTTATAACTTGGTACAAATGGTATGCCTCATATTTTTGGAATTTGGAAATACAATAACCACCTGTTGGTCATTTTAATTTATTGAATTATTGTCTCTTAAAAAGGCCTTTTCGGAAAAAGTTTATTATACAGTTCATTTAAAAAAACGTTACTATTCAAACTCTGTACTGACTGCGAAACTGGCCCTTTAATTATGAAAGGCTGAAAGAACTGAACAGATTTCAATGTTCTACATTTTCTGTACATTTAGATTTTTGGTTGGTCGAAGGTTTAGATAACTTGAAATATTGCAATAAAAAAAGACAATAAAAAAAAGCTTACCTAAAATGGTCATTCAAAAATAAAAACAACGATAGGAAAGTTTTAAGGAATTTTATTTCAATATGGCCATCATCGTGGTAATGGTTCATAATGGTAATAGAAAAAACAAACTGACACATAGTATCAATGGTATGACATTGAAAATATTTTCTCCACAAACATCCTGCCATTTGGAATGAATTCAGTCATCTACTGACAAACCACAGAAATAAACACAGCACCAGCATTTAGAATAAACAGTTCTGTTTTGGGCTGAGATCTGATTTTAAATGCATAAAAAAAACTTACATCATAGGTCTCATTTTACTGCAGTAAGAAAAAAGCAGCATTTCAAAAACAACTAAACAGACATTAAAAATGTAAAAAGCTTAATAACTGTAAGATGACTAACACACGATTGACAAGCACCACATTTTTACACATGTGTATTTGCACAAAAGTGTTTACCCTTATGAGGTGACCCATTAACCGTCAACTCAGCAACTTTAAAACCTGAACTTAGTTAAAAGTTGAATAACCTGGATTAAAAATGACGGTTTGCATTGCCATTTCAAGATGTCCCAGTTGGACTTACCTTGCACAGTAAGTACCACACCATCACCGGACCATCTTATTCACATGTGATAAACATGATTGTTGACTTATCAACTTTAAAAGACACAGTTCTAACTTTCCTGCACAGCTTCAGAACTGAAAATAAAATGGTGGCAGAAAAAGACGTCCTTCACCAGGTTGATTTGCACATTTCAAAATAAAAGAAAGGTTACGTCTTCTCAGACTAGCCTTCTCTCTAAATCTTGTTCTGCTGGACAGACTCCCGAGTTACTTTTGAAAGTGTGAGAAAAATCATCAATTTGGCAAAAACAAAAAAGTCTAAGGTAAAGTTCCATATAATATTCATTATGCACTTTTCTCTTCACCTGTGGCTGCCTTCAGCAGGGCGGCTGCCTCCGCCCGACCCATCTGCTGCACCATCTTGTAGAGGGCTCCGTCTTTGTTCTGCAGCAGGTTAAAGGGCCGGTCTAACTCCTGGATGGTACCGCTGTCTAGAACCTTAAAGCAGGATAACAACAAAAACTTCAGTCAGGCTCTCCAAGTGGCATCAGATGGACAGTACTTTGACAGATATAACATATTGATGTACTAAATGACTGCACTACTTTAGAACAATATAATCAGTAATCAATTATATGGAACATAATGTTTAGGAATCATAGTATACTGAGGCTGAAGAGAGGACTGACCATGATCCTGTCGCTGTCTATGATGGTGTTGAGGCGGTGAGCGATGGTGAGCACGGTGCACTCTCTGAACTTTTCCCGAATGGTTTTCTGGATCAGTTCATCCGTCCTGTAGAGAGACAGGGTAACAATAAGGACATCTGTAGACCGAACGATTTAAGCTTAAAAATAAGCGAAGCGAGATCTTGCCGAGCGGTACCCGGGGTCCACGTTGGCCGTGGCCTCGTCGATGACCAGGATGCGGTTCTGTCGGAGGACGGCCCGGGCCAGACACACCAGCTGCCTCTGGCCCACGCTGAAGTTGGACCCCGACTCGGCCAGCACCGTCTCCAGCTTCCTGGGCAGCTCCTCCACCACCGACTTGAGCTGCACCTGCGGGAGGGAAAGGGGGAGTTAGCCTGATGCACCGAGCAGAGTGAGATCTCACTGAACTGTAACTATAAGTTTTGTGTAACCAAGATGGTTTCCAAATCTATTAGTAAACAACTAGAATTTTTAGCCTTAACTATCGAAGTAGCAAAGGGTCAACAGGTCATGGTGGTGGGCTGCTACAGACCCCCCTCAGCTGTCAAGGAGTCTTTATCTTCTTTGGCAAAAATGTAATCTCAACTTGACTACAAGGAAATAGTGCTGCTTGGTGATTTTAATTGGGACTGGTTAACTTCTGTGTCAGAGGATTTTAAAAACCTTTGTATCTCTCTGGATGTTACTCAGATTATAGACAATCCTACTCGCCCTAACATTAAGTCCCCAAATAAATCCTCCCTAATTGATCTCATCTTAACTAATGTTCCCCATAAATACTCATCTGTGGGAGTATTTGCTAACGATGTGAGTGACCACTGTGTTGTAGCCACAATTAGGGACACAAAAGTCCTAAAGGGTAAACCTCGCATTATCAGTAAGAGAGACAAAAAACATTTTGTGGAGCAGGGTTTTGTGCATGATCTGTTTGATTTTGATTGGGGTCAAATGGATCTGTGTGCTGATGTAGAAACTGCATGGTCTTATTTTTATCTTGGTTTTATGGAAATGATTGATAGACATGCACCCCTGCGTACATTTAGAGTGAAGAGACGAGACAATCCTTGGTTTTCTGCTGAATTATCTAGTCTCCTACATGAGAGAAACGAGGCCTGGGCAAAGGCTAGGCAATCAGGCTCAGAGGTAGAATGGCTGCATTTTAGGCAGCTAAGAAATAGCTTCACGTCACATGTCAAAAGTGCTAAATCAAAGTACTATCTGTCAGTTACCACAAAGAACCTGAATAATCCTGGAACATTTTAGAAAGCCATTAAATCGATATCCACCGGTGATATCCGTAATGAGCTACCTCCGTGCCTTACCACAGCATCTGGCACTATATCGGACAGGGCCACCATGTTAAATTGTTTTAATGAGCATTTTGTGTCCTGTGGCTCTCTGATTTTGTCACTAACTCTGCTTCTGTGAACACCAGTCTGTGACTCTGAAAAACGTGTTTTGGAAAACCCTTTTAGTTTGACTCCTTTTACTGTTGATGTCGTTCATGAAGCCTTAACCAAGCAAGATCCTAAGAAACCGGCTGGCCCGGACAACGTAGAACCTTTCTTTTTAAAGATAGCTGCAGATGTTATTGCTCCACCTCTCACTACTCTTTTTAACCTCTCCCTCAGCACGAACACAATTCCAAAATTGTGGAAGTCAGCGTATTCTATTTTATCCAAAGCGACTTACAATAAGTACATTCGACCAGGAAGATACAACCTTGAAGAAAACAGAATCATATAAGTACATCAGGTTTCATAGAGCCAAACATTTCAAGTGCTACTCAACTGGCTATAGATAAGCCAGCCCTTTATTAGTATACAAGTGCTCTGTTAGCAGTTCTTTGTTAGTAATTCTATCGCTATTCTATCTATTTTCAGCTCTCGTCCTGCCTCTACTAAAAGGTGGGGAGGCCACTTTATTAAATAATTATAGGCCCATCTCTAAATTATCAGCTCTGGCTAAGGTTCTTGAACGCCTAGTGAACAGAGTGAACAGGTAAAGGTGTTTTTATGTACAAATGACATCCTGTCTAAACATCAGTCAGGCTTCAGAAAGCAACATAGCACCATCACTGCCACAATGAAAGTGGTGAATGATGTGGCGAGTATTTTAGATAATAAGCAGAGTTGAGCAGCTCTATTTATTAGGGTTGCCAGAAACTGACCATGATCAAAATCGATTATTCGGCAGCCCTGGCGAATAATAATCGATTAATCGACCCCCCCCCCAAAATAAACCACCATCATATAGCCTGTATTAATAATAGCAGCATTGAAATACATTCAATAATTAGCCTATTGTGTGTGCGTGCATCTCGCATCTTCAAAAAAAAAAGGCAATGGCAGGCACTAGAACAATAGGCCGTACAATTTCACCTTGAAGTGAAGTTGGTAATGGCCGGCTGTGCTGCGTCTTTCTTTGTAATCTCTTTGGCATGCTTCGCACTCAAATGCGAACGCATTGCTGAGGTTGAGCTGTGATAGACCAACGTCTTTTCGCAGAGCTTGCATTTCACTTCCTTTGTACTTATAAGTTCGAAGTAGTTCCACGAGGAGGAACTCTTTTTACCTGCCGCTTTGTTCATCTTTAGTCGCATGTGTGAGGGAGGGTGGGGGCGGGGGCGGGGGCGGTGTGTTGCGTGCTGCAGCAGCAGTCTGCTCTGCACGCAGGCTTCCTCCAAGTTTACAGTAAAACAAACTGGTGGTGTGAATGGCCATTTACAATTGTTAATACTATTACTATTATTAGCATTAGTCTATATTTTGGTTGAAACTAAGCCAGAAAAAAAAAAAAAACATAAATAATAATAAAAAAATATATAAATAAAATCGATTTTTAAAAATAATATTCGATTATGGAGACTGTAACGATTAATCGAATAATCGCTGACATCCCTACTATTTATTGACCTTTCCAAAGCGTTTGACACCGTCGATCATCGCATCTTAAAGCAGAGGCTACTCAGTATTGGCATATCCAGCCATGCAGTAGGGTGGTTTGTGAACTACCTCTCTGAAAGGTCCCAATGTCTTCATTTTGATGGGCTGTCTTCTGAGTGGTTAAACATTACTAATGGTGTTCCTCAAGGTTCTGTTTTAGGTCCACTTTTATTCTCCATCGACATCAATACTTTAGGTGAAATTGTCGATGGAGCAACCTTACATTTTTATGCGGACTGTTACGTGCCGTAGTGTTTGTGTCGGTGTGTGTGTGTGTGTGTGTCTTTCTCTCTCTCTCCCTCCCTCCCTCTGATTCCCCAGGTGCAGCCTGATTGTACCCAGGTGCAGCCTCTCCCCAGGTGCTCCCAATCCTCAATCAGGGCCTCCATAAAGGACCTGAGGAAGGCTGCAGTCGCTCTCTCCTTCTCCTCTGGCTGCATGTGTGCATCATGTCTCTGTGTTCTTGTGAATTGTTACATGTGCTCCAGTTTACCTTTTTGTGTATTGTTTATTTTAGTTTGCAAGTTGGCTGGTGAGCCCTTTTTCTTTTGTCCATTAAAACATCACTTTGTGGCTTCAGTAGACAGTTTCCTCTCCTTTTTCTCTCGCCAGGTTATTTTTGGTGTTTTGTTACTTCCCTTTGTACCCCTAGTTAGGAGTTAGGAGTTCCTAGTTTGTTACGTTCCCTCCTAACTAGGGGTACAAAGGGAAGTAACAAAACACCAAAATAACCGTGCTCCACACAAAATGGAGCACATCTAACAATTCACAAGAACACAGAGACATGATGCACACATGCAGCCAGAGGAGAAGGAGAGAGCGACTGCAGCCTTCCTCAGGTCCTTTATGGAGGCCCTGATTGAGGATTGGGAGAGGCTGCACCTGGGGACAATCAGGCTGCACCTGGGGAATCAGAGGGAGAGAGAGAGAGAAAGACACACACACACACAAACACTACGGCACGTAACACGGACGATACCGTGATGTATTGTGCAGGTCCCTCCATTAAGGAGGCTGTTGTTGAATTGCAAGCTGTTTTTAACATTATTCAGTCTCAGCTCTCTGAACTAAAGCTTCTTTTAAATGTTGATAAAACCAAGGTAATGCTCTTTTCAAAAGCTAAAAAGACACCAGAGCCTGTTTTAGATATTGTAACTATGCAAGGAATACAAATTGAAGTGGTTACCTGTTACAAATACCTTGGTATCTGGCTTGATGATTGTCTCACTTTTAAAAAACGCTTAAAAAACGGAGGGTTAGGCTAGGTTTCTTCTACAGGAACAAGTCCTGTTTCTCGCTTGAGGCCAGGAAAAGGCTAGTCATTAAATTACATTGCATTTAGCTGACGCTTTTATCCAAAGCGACTTACAATAAGTACATTCGACCAGGAAAATACAACCTTGAAGAAAACAGAATCATATAAGTACATCAGGTTTCATAGAGCCAAACATTTGAAGTGCTACTCAACTGCTATAGATAAGCCAGTCCTTTATTAATACAAGTGCTCTGTTAGCAGTTCTTTGTTAGTAATTCTATCGCTCGAAGTGGAGTCGAAAGAGAGGAGTTTTCAGTCTGCGCAGGCTATCTGCTGTCCTGATTTCAATGGGGAGCTCATTCCACCATTTTGGAGCCAGGATAGCAAACCCACATGTTTTTGCTAATGGGAACTTGGGTCCCCCTCGCAGCGACGGTGCAGCGAGTTGTTTGGCTGATGCAGAGCGTAGTGCACACGGTGGGGTGTACAGTTTAACCATGTCCTGGATGTAGGAAGGGCCAGATCCATTCGCAGCATGGTATGCAAGTGGATTCTAGTAATTAATGGAACCCAGTGAAGTGAGCGGAAGAGCGGCGTGGTAAAATGTTGGAAGGTTGAAGACCAGACGAGCTGCTGCATTCTGGATGAGCTGCAGAGGTCGGATGGCACATGCAGGTAGACCAGCCAGGAGGGAGTTGCAGTAGTCTAGGTGTGAGATGACGAGAGCCTGGACCAGAACCTGCCTTGCTTTCTGGGTCAGCTGGGGACGTATCCTCCTGATGTTGTAAAGCGTGTATCTGCAGCAGCGGGTTGTTGCAGCGATGTTTGCAGTGAAGGACAGTTTGTTATCTAGGGTCACACCCAGTTTCCTTGCAGTCTGAGTCGGGGAAACTACAGCGGTGCCAATGTTGATTGTCAGGTCAAGAGTGGGGCAATCTTTTCCCGGAAGGAAGAGCAGCTCAGTCTTGTCAAGGTTGAGCTTGAGGTGATGAGCAGACATCCACTGAGAGCTGTCAGCTAGACAAGCAGAGATGCGTGCGACGACCTGGGTCTCTGAGCGGGGAAAGGACAGAATTAATTGGGTGTCATCAGCGTAGCAGTGGTATGAAAAACCCTGCGGGCTAATGACTGATCCGAGCGAGTTTGTGTACAGGGAGAATAGGAGGGGACCAAGAACAGAGCCCTGAGGGACCCCTGTAGTTAATTGACAAGGTTCGGACTCTGACCCTCTCCAAGTTACCCTGTAGGTACGGTCTTTGAGGTATGAGGTGAGGAGGGAAAGTGCAGTGCCTGAAACTCCAAGTTTTTGGAGAGTGCGAAGGAGGATCTGATGGTTCACCGTGTCGAATGCAGCAGACAGGTCCAAAAGGATGATGACAGAGGAGAGGGATGCTGCTTTGGCAGTGTGCAGTTCCTCAGAGACAGCAAGGAGAACAGTTTATGTGGAGTGACCTGCCTTGAAACCAGACTGGTGCGGATCAAGAAGGTTGTTCTGATGGAGATAACAGGAGAGTTGTTTAAAGACAGGGACGGGAGGAGAGAGACAGGCCTGTAGTTTATAACATCAGACAGGTTGAGAGTGGGTTTCTTTAGGAGAGGGTTTACTCTTGCCTCCTTAAGACTATTTGGAAAGTGACCAGAAGTTAGAGAAGTGTTGATGAAATGGGTGAGAAACGGTAGAATATCAGGAGCGATAGTCTGAAGGAGGTTTGAAGGGATAGGGTCCAGAGGACACGTGGTAGGACGGGCAGAGGTAATGAGGGTAAGAACCTCACTTGGAGAGAGAGGGGAAAAGGAGGTTAGTGTGTTGGTGAAAGGAGGGTCTGGTGACCCAGCGGTGAGTAAAGGTGAGTCAGAAAAAGAAGAGCGAATATAATCAACCTTTTTTTCAAAAAAATAGTTTTTTGGGATTGGAATAGGAAGATTGGATCTTATCTTGAAAGAAAGTGCTTTTTACCTGAGAGATCGAAGCAGAGAAAGAGGAGAGGAGAGATTTGATAGGTTAGGAGGTCGTCATGGTGTTTGGATTTCCACCGTATGAGAATATGAGATCAAGGACATTGCCAGCTTTATGAGTTGGTGGGGATGGAGACAGTGAGAAGGCAAAGGTGGAGATGTTAGTTTGTCTATCTTCCCTGTCTGGAGGTTGAAGTCTCCGAGAAGTACAGCGGGAGGGCCAGTTTCAGGGATGTGTGAGAGGAGATTATCTAATTCCTCCAAGAAGTCCCCCAAGGCGCCTGGTGGACGGTAGAGAACAACAATGGTTAATTGTATAGGATGGGCAGGGTTGGGTTGTAACGGAATACATGTAACAGCGTTACGTAATCAGAATACAAAAATTAAGTAACTGTATTCAGCTCGCGTTACATTTGAAAAACGAGTAATCTGATTACAGTTACTTTCGTAAACCTGAGGTGAATACATTTTGGATTACTTATTGGAATTATTGGTGGAGGATTTCCTCACAACATTTAATAATCATTACTAAAAAGGTACAGCCGAATCATCAAAGCCCACAAAACCTATTACCGCCGCAGATGGACCAAAAAAGCGTTTGAAAAAAAATCGCGGGTCCGCTCGCTCAGTGAAACAATAACAACGAAACATGGAGGAATAAAAGTCTGCATTTAAATCGCGTGTGTGTGTGGTTAAAACACATCAGCCTGCGGTCGCTCTTTAGCCTTACTAATGATTATTTCTGAAGGTATACACAGTGAAGGCGGTGCGTGAAAGGCACTGCGCGGCACGCTCCTCTTCTCAGAGGCTGAGTTAACCCTCCCGCTGCCTCCTAGTGCTGCAGAGATTTCATGAAGTGAAGGAGGTTTTCCTTCTATAAAACAGCTGTGGGCAGCAGATACTGTGAGTGTCACGGACATGAATTCATAGATCAAGGCAGACTGGTGCACACACTCTCCTGTTTTGCCAATCCGGTGCTTAAACAAATATAGCTCTACACCCCTGGCCGACATGTCCTTAAAATGAAGTCCGAGTTCGACATTTTAATTCATGTCCTGCCAACACTGGCAGGACAGAAGGCGACACGCCCGTTCTAAGCCGTGTCCCTCACTCCTCCTCACATCCCAAGCTGCATCCCCAACAAGTTTATTATGTTGTTACATCGTTTCAGATGTGATGTTTCAGTTGTGCTCTTGATAAGCCATTAAAACAGTAAAACACGTTCAGTTTCCTTTTACTTTTTGTGTCTCCTGTTCACCAAAACATACCCATCTGTGATGGAAAAAGAAAGTAATCCAAAAGTAATCTAAAAGTAATCTGATTACGTTACTTTTTTAAGACACGCAACTGTAACTGTATTCGGATTACTTTCAGAGCCATGTAATCAGTAACTGATTACATTTACAAAGTAACCCTCCCAACCCTGAGGATGGGTTACTGTGACGGCATGGAATTCAAAGGTGGAAGGAGTGAAGTTAGGTAGCTTGAAGAGGGAAAAGCTCCATTTGGGAGAGAGCAGGAGACCAGTGCCACCTCCTCTGCCAGTGGGTCTGGGTGTATGGGAGAAGGAATATGCTGTGGAGAGAGCTGCTGGGGTGGATGTGTTGGATGGAGTAATCCAGGTCTCAGTGAGAGCAAGGAAATTCAGAGACTGCAGGGAAGCGTAGCCAGAAATGAAGTCAGCTTTAAGAACAGCTGACTGGCAGTTACACAGGCCACCTGCAACTAGCTGTTGGATCTCAGTGGAGCATGTGGGATAGACGAGAGCAGGCCGGTTATATCGATTAGGAGATACACGCGGCCAGTGATAATTGCGAGAAGACACATGAACAGGAATGGAGAAAATACACATAATTATAGCACGAGGGGCTAAAAAAACAAATAAAATAAAATACTAGAGATACTTAGCTCAATCAAAGTAGGATTTGCCTCCTCGTGACTCCCGCAGGACTCCAATGTCTTTGTCAGTCTGACGCTGAAGTTGACGCTCCAGGAAAGAGCTACCTAAAATGGACACTTGATTGCTGAGTTCTCACAACTGTGGGGCCACGCCCCTCTAATTAGTTAACTCTCTGCAGCTGATGGGCGACAGCAGAGTCTTTCTGCCTATTGTAATGCAGGGTTGAGACGAGTGACCCACTGAGACCTGTGTAACAGGTTCTGTTGAGCAGATCTGAGATTTAAAATCTCTCAAAAGCGCAGTTTCAGCTACAATAACTACAGAACAATTATACAGAGTAGAATAAATGAAACAGAGAAGTCTATTTAAACAAGAATATAACTTACAGTGATGTGACTTTTTTATATGAGTGCACCTGCCAATTGCCTGGTCAAGTTAGATGCCGCCTATCACAGTGCACTGAGATTTGTGACTAAATGTAAAGCATTAACCCATCACTGTACCCTGTATGCAAGGGCTGGTTTGCCTTCACTAACTGTACGGAGGCTCAGTCACTGGTACATTTTTATATACAAAGCCATGTTAGGGAAACTTCCATCCTACATCTGCTCCCTGATCTCACGGCGAATTGTAAGTGGCTACTGCCTGAGATCGCATGCTGTAGTTTTATTAAATGTGCCAACTGCTAGGACTGTCTTAGGGAAGATAGCTTTTAGATGCGCAGCGCCACTGTCATGGAATAGTCTGCAATTGAAATGGAAACTGAGCAATCTGGTGCCACTAAATGTTTTTAAAGCTCGGTTGGATGCTACTCAATCGGAAGCTGTTGGTACTTGCACATGTGGATAGTTATGTAAATTGTAAACCCTGTAATGATGCTGTATGATGTCCTTTTTGTTGTTCTGTTTATGTTTTTATGTTTCATGTGGAACCTACTTGAGCAGGTCTCCCTTGAAAAAAGAGATCAATGATCTCAATGGGATACACCTGGGTAAATAAAGGTTTGAAATGAAATGAAAACTGCAGGACAGACGGGGGGTACCGACCTCCTCCAGAGCCCTCCACAGGTCCTCGTCAGAGTGCTGGCCGAAGGGGTCCAGGTTCTTTCTCATGGAGCCTGTGAACAGCACCGGGTCCTGGGGAAAAGGGGAACCGAAACGTGGTCAGACTCGAGCTGGATTTTCATCCTCAAATGGGCAAAAAAAACACTCACTCTCTAGATTCAGATACTGAAAACAAAGATTTCATGGTGAGAATATAAAAAGTTCAATGTATCCAATTGTTACAATGACATGATTTTCCAAAATTCATGGTAACAGAAGGTCTTTGGATGTTCACCTGAGGGATGATGGACATCTTGGTGCGCAGGTCGTGGAGGCCGATCTCAGAGGTCAGAACTCCGTCTATGTAGATCTTCCCCTGAGGCTCGGCCAGGCGGAACAGAGCCGACACCAGAGAGCTCTTCCCGGCGCCCGTCCTCCCCACGATGCCCACCTGACACACAGAGAACAAGAGTGAGCGGCATCCGTCATGTGTGTTCAACATATTAACTAATAAATGAGGCAGACGCTGGCGGGGAGCCAACATGTGTCTCACCTTCTCGTTGGGTTTGAAGGTGAAGCTGATGTCTTTGAGGACCGGCGCTCCCTCTGGCCTGTAGGAGAAGCTGACGTGGTCAAAGGTCACTAGACCTTTGTTGGGCCAATCAGGAAGAGGACGCTTCTTAGTTTCCCAGGGTGCCTCACTCTCAAGCTCGGTGTACTCCACCACCCTCTCCACTGACGTCATCTTCAAAGAGACATTATTTAAAATGTTTGTTATTTGTGTTAATTCTGCTGCTTCTCATCATTGTATACTTTTGTCCTCCATAAACAGCTACACAAATGTACTACATCTGTTAGTCTCCAACAACATAACACGTGAGTTAAAACCTGAGCCTGATCAGCTGCTAATGTAATCACATCTTTATTAGGGCTGCACGATTAAAAAAAAAAAAAATTGCGATTTTTCTGACAAATATTGCGATTGCGATTCGGGATATTTGTTTTTAAGCTACCCAACGGAAGTTTATTGTAAAATGCGGCCATATCTCCGGCTAGGATTGTCGCATCAACATGCTCCCGTCTCTAGCACCCCTGCAGCCCGAGCTACGAGTGACAGAACTAAACTTACATGAAACTTCTGTTGGGTTGCTTTAAAGGGGACCTATCATGCAAAATGCACTTTGTGAAGTCTTTTATACATAAAGATGTGTCCCCGGTGCGTCGGGGAACTCACGCAGCGTCAGAAAACGACGTGTCCTTCCGATCTGACGTAAAATCGGCAGCGGACCCACAGAAAATTGCTATCGGAAACAATGCCTGACGTGTTTTGGACGTAATCTCGTCTTTGTTTACATGTGATGGAGCATTACTAACCTGACTCAGATGGTTTGTTTCACCAAACCATCTAGGAAAGCTCCATTGGAAGCCATTTGAAAAGGGCAGGCACTTTCAAAAATACTTGGCAGGTGATTGGATCAACCTGTCTATCACCTTCTATCATGGGCCACTTCTGATTGGTTAACAATGGCTGGTACATGTGGAGCACAGCACTTCTGATTGGTGTGGATGACTGACACACAAGAAAAGAAAAAATGTTAAAAAAAATTGTAGGCTTTGCGATTTGATAAACGCATCATTTCAAATCGCAATTTCAATTTAATATCGATTAATCATTCAGCCCTAATCCTTATATCCTATTACACATGTGTGTAAGAGTGTCATGTTTTATTAGGTCACAGTGACCATGACTCAATGAAGCAGACGGTTGAACAGATTCCCACCAGGCATTCCTGAGACACTGCTTCACGAGACAGACCATTCAGTTCTCACCATGTTCTCCACCTCGGCACTCTGCCTCACCATCCACTGGAAGCTGCCCACCAGAGTCACAGCATACGTCAGCACCAGCCCCACCTCCCCAGCATTCAGCCCTGAGAAACACACACACACACACACACACACACTCTTTACAAGGTTTTACGTTACTCGCTGTAGGGAACTCCCTTAAAGGAAGGAGCCATTCTGCTCTTAAAGAGACGTGAGACGATATTATACCCAGAAGCTGACCTGACACATCAGCTGATGTGCTGCATGAATACAGGTACCCGATTGCACTCGTTTGTGAAGCTTGGTACTAAAATTGATTGACAGTCATTCTGGGTGCATTTACCATCTCTGAGCAGGATACAGCCAAAGGTTACGAAGGTGATAAATGCTGAGCAAATGCTGTCGAGGTAAAGAGCGAACCAGCGGGACGTCATCAGGAACAAAAACCACGCCTCTGAAACCAGAGAGAGAAAATGGATTTCAGCAAAGACTGTATTTGTCCACACTGACAGAGCAGACAATAATAACCACACTTTTGAAAGGTAACATGTTTATGATGAAAAGCTCAATATGAAGTAAAGTAGAACCTGTGTGCAGGTCCTGATGAGCATCGAAGGCTTTCGTTAACCTCTCCTCAGCTCTAAAGGCTCTGATGGTCGACAGGCCCTGAAGAGATGAAGACAGGTGGGAGAACACGGGACTCCGAGCTGCAGGAGAAAAAAAAGAGGGGTTGAAACCATTGTTTTCATCTGCTCATCTCTGCGTGTATCAAACATTATATATAACATTATTTAAAAAGCCCACTCCTCAATGAAATGGAATGGTATATTATGGAAAGGACCCATAAACACATACTTGTAGATTCTAGGCGCTTGACGTCTCGTGACGTACGGAGGTAGAAACGTCTCAAGTACAAGAAGATGAAGAGCAGAGGGATGACGGGGACGAGGATGAGAGGGATGACCGAGGCCGCCACCGCGATCACGCCCGCATTCTGTAAAAATAACTGCAAAACCACAATAATAATTGAGTAGTTCAAGAAAAATGAGATCATGTCGAGAATTGTTGACTTAAAGAACTGGAGAACTAACACAATCAGTGTATGTGTCATTTAAATGGCACTCATTTCTTACTTGATAGAAGTTCACAAAGGTGATGGGTAACAGGGAGTCCATCTGGCTGATGTCTTTGGAAAACCTGTTGAGAATCCTTCCTACAAAGCAAAGAAAGAAAAGTCAGTTAGAAAAACAAATGCCACTTCTTTAACCAGAAGGTCAGAAGCCTGGTTTGCCTCCATACAGTATACCGTACTATTGAAACAGGACCCCGGCTCCATTTTAAACGGTAGTGACTCTTAAGTGCGGGGCTCACCTATGGGGTTGACGTCAAAGAAGCGAACAGGCGTGCGGATGACGGCGCTGAACATGCTGTTGTGCAGAGTTTGAGACGATCTGACCAGTCCGTGAAACAACACCAAACTGCGCATGTAGCCAAAGACCACCGCAGCCGCTGTCAAACCTGAGAGAAAGAAACAAGAAGACTGCAATTGAACATGCTCTACTTAATAGCATGGACTTTAAAAACACCACAAACAGTATTTGTGGTGATAGGAAGGGAAGGCTCACCTGCATAAATGCCAAGGTGAAACGTGAGATCGGCCTCTTGTTCTGAGCGAGTGGCATTGATGCCAGAGCCGAGGGTAACATCTCTGGCTGTGCTGTTCAAGAACTCCCCTCTCGACCTGTTGACACACAGCATCAACAAATCAGACCAGGCGCACGGCAAACTAATACATATTACATGGTTCAAAAAACAACAACTTTTAAAAAACACGAGAGAGTGTGAATAGCCCTGGATAAACACTCACCAGTATGCGAGCCACCAGTCCTGCATTATATACGCACCCTATACATAGAAAAAAGTTATAATTACGTTTTTTTTTTACTAGACATTTACTGTGGTACAAATCATTGATTAGCACATCAAAAAGAAACATGAAGCACATATCTCAGTATGAGCTTTTTACAAAATAGATCAAATAAAGTCGCTTCTGGAGTATATGAAAGGCCTATGAGCCATCTCTTACCTCAGCTAGGACACTGATCAGCACTACAAACACCAGCACCGCAGGGCTGTGGCCTGCAGTGAAGTACTTGAGGTAGATGTGGCCGCTAACATTTCCTTCAGCTCGGCTCTCCTCTGCCACGCTGGGCACTGTTTTAGCCTGAAAAACAAAACGTTCTACATATTCATACTACTGGCTTCCACTTCATACTGTGCAGATTTGTACAAAGGACACTGGAACAAGGATTTTATTATGAGTTTTGTTTCAATGGACCCGACTTCTCAGACATTCACAGCTTATCATAGAAACATTATGTAATAATTCCTGTTTACTGGTAATCCTCTTGTTTTTCCAGCACGTCTCCTAATTCCTAGAAATCAATTAAACTATGTTTCCAAGTTTGTTTTTTTCAAATTACACAACAGTGCATGTGCTATTTATTAAAAGAGGTTTTTGAAGAGATATAATCCCTCCACCTGGTCCTAGGTCTACCCCTTGGTCTCTTCCCAGCTGGACGTGCCTGGAACACCTCCCTAAGGAGGCGCCCAAGTGGCATCCTAACTAGGTGCCCGAACCACCTCAACTGGCTCCTTTGACGCGAAGGAGGAGCGGCTCAACTCCGAGTCCCTCCCGGATGACCGAACTTCTCACCTTATCCCTAAGGGAGACACCAGCCACCCTGCGGAGAAAACCCATCTCGGCCGCTTGTATCCGCAATCTCGTTATTTCGGTCATGACCCATCCTTCATGACCATAGGTGAGGGTAGGAACGAAAATGGCCCGGTAGACAGAGAGCTTTGCCTTCTGGCTCAGCTCTCTTTTCGTCACAACGGTGCGGTAAAGCGACTGCAGTACCGCTCCCGCTGCTCCGATTCTCCGGCCCATCTCACGCTCCATTGTTCCCTCACTCGAGAACAAGACCCCGAGATACTTGAACTCCTTCAATTGGGGTAAGGACTCATTCCCTACTTGGAGTGGACAGTCCATCGGTTTCCTGCTGAGAACCATGGCCTCAGATTTGGAGGTGCTGATCCTCATCCCAGCCGCTTCACACTCGGTTGCGAACCGATCCAGTGAGTGCGGAAGGTCGCAGACCGATGAAGCCATCAGAACCACATCATCTGCAAAAAGCAGTGGTGCAATCCTTAGTCCACCGAACTGCAGACCCCCTCCCCCATGACTACGCCTCGAAATCCGATCCATGTATATTACAAACAGGATTGGTGACAAAGCGCAGCCCTGGCGGAGGCCAACCCTCACCGGAAATGGGTCCGACTTACTGCCGAGGACCCGGACACAGCTCTCGCTTTGGGAGTACAGAGATCGGATAGCCCTGAGTAGAGACCCCCTCACCCCATACTCCCGCAGCACCTCCCACAGTAACTCCCTGGGAACTCGGTCATACGCCTTCTCCAAGTCTACAAAACACATGTAGACCGGATAAGCGTACTCACAGGCCGAAATGAGTTCTTGCAGATGGAAATAGGTTGGATTACCTGACACTTGGCTATAAGAGTTATATTATGGAATGAAATCAACTTGCAATTTCAGCTCTGCACTCACTTTATACAGGCTCATCTTCACTCTGATTTAACTCCACTTGTGCATTGTAAAATTTCTTAATGAAGGTATTATAGACCAGATTTGTTATACGGCAAAATAATGGTTACACTTAAGGTTGAAACAAATGAGCAGGATGCTTATACAAATATAATACCAAACACTTTGTAATTGAAACAGTTGTAGAATAACCCTGAAAACACTTTATTTTGAAAGGTACGTACCGGAAGCTGCTGCTCATTGAATCTGCTCTCGGGCACCAGGAGGCTGCTCTGGGAGCCGTGAGAGTTATTGGTCCTCTTGCTGAGAAGGGACAGTCTGTCTGGCTCTGGTGATCGAATGGAGCACTCCTGATCCTCGTCGCTCCTCTGCAGGGACTGGAAGTTGAGTCCAGAGCTCTGAAGCTCGTTGTAGGTTCCCTCGGCCATGATGTGACCCTGGGAGAGACAAAGAGGTGACGCTGCTGGTGAATCCTTGGGGGAAATGTCTCAATGAGAAAGAAGCTAATATTGAGCTACACAACTGAGCTACATTAGCCAACTCAAATTCCACTCCAAAAAAAAAACAAGGGTGCTGATCTTCCAGAGCAAAACAAGGTGTGTCACTGAAGTGTCTTCAGTTTCAAAAGCTCAGAAAGCACCAACCTCCTTGAGGACGATGATCTGGTCGGACGCCTGCAGGTACTGAAGCTGGTGGGTGACCAGGATACGACACTTGTTCTTCAGCAGGCCGCAGATACACCTGAGGACACACAGACACAATACACTCATTAAGTAAATAAAGTGTCTGTTTATTCAGTCAGGTGAGCTTCTCTTAGAACTCATTGGAGTCTAAAATTCACTTTTAACACTGCACATTTCTTTCCTATCAAGTCTTTTGGCACCAGGTTTTGAGCATGAGCTTTTGTCACTTATATCACACAATTATATCTGAGCCATCCTACACGAGGATTGGCAAGCCAAGGAGGCCCCGTCAAGTTTGATAGATTATGTCCATGGTTTCAAACACTGCTTGTATCGGGCAAATCAAATGGCAAGAGAAAAGCTACAGTCTGCTCAAACTAAAATGATAAGCCTCTATGATCGACGTGCAGAATGTTGTGGGTTGAGTCCTGGGGATCAGGTTTTAGCACTGCTGCCTGTAGTTGGCTCTCCGTTTCAGGCCAAGTTCTCTGGGCCTTATACAGTGTCCAAGAAGTTGTCAGACCTCAACTATTTTATAGCGACCCCTGACCGGAAGAAGTCGGTGCAGTTTTGTCATATAAACTTGCTAAAACCCTATTTTTCCCGTAAACCTGTGCCAAGTGTTGATTGTTCCGTTTCCTCACATGCCACTGTCACACACACACAATTGTGGTGACAGTGGGTCACCCATCACCATCTCTGGATGTGGAGGCAGGGGTTAAAGGGGAAGAGGAGTATTCCCCAGATGATGGTCTTTTGAGAGGTCGGCTTAAAAATTCGTTGTCGTTGGCTAATCTGGATGGTATGTTGAGGCATTTAACTGAACGCGGCCTGAACTGTGTGGCCTCCTTCTTTATTTCCAGCCTTAAGTAAGGTTGTAACACATGTGACCCGCATTTCCAAACCAGCACATTTTTGAGTGTGCTGTAGACAGATACTTTGGTACTACAATTTGTTTAAGACACTTATTGTCAATTATTCACAGCTTTTTGTGCCCTTTCCCCACTTGAAAAGGAATTCAATCATCTACTATACTTTCTAACTGGAATCCACTCAAATGACACAGCAGATTGGCATATTGTGTAAACACATATTTTGCTGTTAGTATGAAATTGTAAAGAAATGTAAATGCTTTTGTGTTTTCACTGCCTGTATTATTATTAGGGGTGCACCGAATGGGAAATTCTTGGCCGAAACCGATACCGAAAATAGGAAACAGTTGGCCGAAAACCGAATGCCGAAAGGCCGAAAATGATTAATAGAAATATATATATATAATGTATACATCTTTTACCAATGTTGTTCAGCTACCTGATTATGGAAATAGACATGATTATGGCAAAACTTAACTTAAATAATAATCACTATTATGGGTCCATAAAACATTTATTCAGCACTTTTGAATGCATACAGTACATTTATATATGTCATGTATTATTGCTAAAAAACATTATATCGCAGTCTTAGTGTCGCCAACTCGTTTCTAATATGCAAAGACAACAAATGCGTCTATGATGTATTTTCGATCAGACGAGATCTCTCTCCCCCGTCTGTGTGCGAGGGGGCGGGGCAGTTTACACACACGCAGTTGCTACATGCAGCGGAGCACACTGCGGAGAGAACGCGCTCCGAGGTGTGGTTACACTTTACCCGTCTCGATGTGGAGAATACTTGTTACCATAAGTGCAATAAGAGTTTAGCATGTAAGCACGAGCAATTTGTCTAAACATTTAGCAAAAGTGCACCGCATGCAGACGGAGGAATGCACCGGGTTCGACCGTCTTTCTAGCAGCTCTGTAGCCCCATCCACGAGTAACGTTTCCACGTCAGGTGTTATGTATGCTAGCAGCTACACACGGAGTTAACTACATGATACAAACATGGGCTAATGATTAGAGGTAACTGAGTTATTTAGTTTGTTAAAATTTCAGCTATTCTGTTTACAGTCTGTCATCAGATTATTTAATACGATTTGTTAAAGGCTCAGGGCAATCTCGATGACAAAGGTCAATGTTCCCCCCCCCCCTGTGAGCCAGCCGCGAGCATGGTCGCCGCGTCTTTATTACGTCATCACAACAACACGTTAGGTTACCAACGTAAGCCTGTTCTGACATTCGGTGATATTTTTTCGGTGCTAAAACCCGAAAGCCGAAAGGGCCTTTTTAACCATTTTCGGCCGATAATTTTCGGTGGCCGAATATTCGGTGCATCCCTAATTATTATCACTATGAACAATGGCTTTGGCCCACAACAGGTCACTCACTTTTCAAACAGGTGTCTCCCAACCTCTGCGTCCACAGCACTCAGAGGGTCATCCAGCAGGTAGATGTCTGCTTCCTGATACACAGCCCTAAAAACACACACATTCCAATAAGCCCAAACATGATTTGAGTAAATATGAAATCATAAACTAATCTACGGAAGTGAAAGTTCTACCAAGCGTGTTTCTACTTAAAGTTGCTGGCCTCTTGATATTGAGGCCAAATATACATATTCATTTTTTGGAAGTGTTATTTTTGTTTAACAAGAGATGATAGTTTTCTCACCTGGCCAGGTTGACCCGAGCTTTCTGTCCCCCGCTGAGGGTGGCCCCTCTGTCCCCGATCATTGTCAGGTCTCCATCTGGGAGCAGCTCCATGTCCTGCAATCACACATAATGAAGGATTAGTACAAATACAATATATATGTGCATGCCCTGTTTTTTTATGTCCTAGTTGAAAATCTTGGCATTTCAGGCAAATCTTCTTCAAAGTAAAACACTAATTAGTCTTCCCGACTGCACTTTTTTAGTGATTTGCAGGTCAGCAAATTAACGTTTCTGAATAAACATTGATGGGTTGCAGGTGGTTTTGATATTACATAATTTATGAGGAAGGGCACTTTGTTGTATCTCACCCTCTTGAGAGCACACGCCCCGAGGACTCTCTGGTACCTCTGGTGGTTAAACTCTCTTCCGAACAGGATGTTACTGCGGACGGTTCCGGGGAACACCCAGGGCTGCTGCGTGGCATATGTCAGCTGACCTTTGACCTTGAGGTTTCCTGAGTCATGAGGCAGTTCTTCCAGGATGGCACTCAGCAGAGAGGACTGGTAGGAACAGGGAATGGACAGTTTTAAATATTGTTAGTGCTCAGACAAAAGTTTTAGGCATTCATAATCCAGAAAATTAAGTAGTCTACACCGCTGTACTGACCTTTCCGGCACCCACTGGGCCAATTACAGTCAGAAGTTCGTGAGACTTCACTGTGATAGATATGTTTTGCAGCGATGGAGCATCCAAACTCTGCAGGATACAAAAAACACAGTAATTGAGAGTTACAATTACCAGATAGAAATTCTTGTATTTCACAACAGATGTGGCATTTAGTCACATTGTTTAAAACCACAAACAACCTCTGGGTTCTAACACGAGGTTCAAGACTTGCAATGTTTGCAATACACTGTATCAAAGCACACATTCCCCTCCCTCCCTCCTTCCTTCTCTCCCCCTCTCTGACATCTCTCCCCTGAACTCTCCAACCTGCCTCCCACCTTTCCCCCCCTGCCCCAAATGGTCCTTCACACACACACACACACACACACACACACACACACACACACACACACACACACACACACACACACACACACACACACACACACACACACACACACACACACACACACACACACACACACACACGTCACACTGTGGGGCTGCGGGAAACGGTATCTCAAGTTTCTGGATGTATAACACATGTAGAAATGTTGACAATAAAGCTGACTTTGACTTTTGACTTTGACTTTGACACACATATGCTGTAAGATGACATTTACAGTAATGTCAGAAAACTTTTTAGGGCTAAAATAGTCACCTTATCCCAGTAGCAGGTCATCTTCGTAATCTCAACAGAGTTGTCCTTCTTTTCCTCAAGAGAAAGCCCACAGCTTTTCCTCTCAATCTCCTTCAGCAGAAGAAATTCCTGGAAGTGGTTAATGGACACAAGACTTTTGTCACTGTGACCTATAATTCCTAGAATCTGTTGTTGCAGGGTTTTTTTACTACCTACAGGGTCACTCATAAACTCTGATATTAGGATTCAGGTTGTGAAGAGAGTGTCTTGGACGTTCTTGTGTTATTTAATGTGTTACTGATCATTCACTAAGCACAGCTCCAAACCCATGGTAGGACACAGCAAGATTTAAAATGTGCACTAATTGTTCCCCCTAGTTTGCAGATAATCATTATCTTTGGTGTCTTTGCTGGATTTTGAAAGATCAGTTACACAATGACCCAGTTTAGTGTGGGCCAGTGACAGATTACACTAACCTGTTATCTGCGGTAGAACAACCAGCCATTCAGGACTTCAATTATGTGCAAAGTCATTAACTTAGAACAAATTAATCAAATTACCTCAATTCTGCGAACGCTAACCGCAGTCTCCGACAGCTTCTCAATGGCCAGTGGGAACAACAGGGTGACTGTGAGCTTGATGGTGCCGTACAGGGAAACTGTGACGAACACAGTGCTGGCATCGATGGTGTTCCCCAGGAGAACGTAGACAGTGAAGGTAATAAAGACTATGATCTTGCTGCTGGCAAAGGAGGAGGCCATGTTAAGTCCTCGTAAGTAGGAGCTCTTCAAAATCTGCCTGATTTCTTTCCTGGAATAGAAGACAACATGAGGAAGGTCAAGATCGTGACACAAATCAAATGACACAAAGGCACCATCTTGTATACCTTTGTGCATGCTTTAAACGGCAAGGTTATTTTCCAGACTTTGGCCATGCAGAATATTAATGAGTAAGCATATAGATTCCTAAATTCTCAGTTAATGCAAGTGAGTCTGGACCTGCTTATTTTTACATAATTGTGCAATAGCATTAGGAAACACCCGTAATCTTGCAAAAATGTGCAGAGAAAATTCCTGCAGTTCTGTAAAAAAAAAAACAGGGAACTTCTACAACAGAAAGACACTAAACTTGCGTCACAAAACTGCCAAAGGCGACAGCTTTAGTGTCTCATTTATAAAATACTCAACCATTAGCACTTTAGTAGCTTTGGAAACATGTGTTGTACGTATGCAGTAGTTTAGACTAAGTGGGAAATATCTGCTAATTCTAACCTTATCAATGCTATTTGCTGGTTAATTTAATTCAGTTATTAATGTTATACAATGTGAGGCTTATTGTACCGTTTAAGATATTTCCAGTTTGCAACATTGTCAGGTCACACTTATCAAATACAGTATTTCCTATTTGAAAAAATGCACTATTATCACAAGCTAATGCTAATGTCAGTTTTGTGGGTTGGCAGAGCTACAAAACTGTCTCTTATTGAATGTTCAATCATGTGAATATTCCTCTTTGTTTCTGAGTAAGCACAAACTTTTTCCCACATGGCATGCCATTGTCAGGTGCTCCCTGCTGATACTCAATATTAACAAAGTCCACAAAGTTAACACACGTGTATAACAAGGAAGATTTAACTTGTGCTTATCTAGATACAGCAAAGTGAAACAGCAGTCAAATGTTCTCAAGTTTTAAAAAAAAAAGACGACATTTAATTGTAAATGAATACATCCTGTTATTTTTAAAAGCAATAGGATTTCCAAATGGTTTCTTAGAAAGGAGTTATTGTGTACATAAGAGTGTCAGTGTGTCAATGATTATCCAACCCCAGTAAAACTAAAAGTGACAAGATACACATGATCTTATATGTTATATGTCAGGGACTACGGATAGAAATTAGCTCAAAGCTAAAATCCGGCATATTTACACTTGAAGCATTATTTGTCTAAACTGTTCATTAATGTGCATTGTCCCTATTCAAATAAACGATTAAATGAAATGAAAATGAAATCTTATATGATAGAGGACTGATTAGGTTGTTTTAGGACCAGTCATAGAAGCCGGTCACTTAACCTGTTGAACCCCATCCCCCCGCCACCGGGGGGAAAAACGCATCATCTGCAGGAAACAGCGTCTGAGGGCTTCTTAATATTTAATAAACTATGAATGTTTAATATCCATGTAACGGGAAAAAAAAACACAAAGCTAACGCTGAGCCTCTGAATTAACAACAAGCGAAAAAATGCTAACGGGGTTTGCACAGAAAACACGGTATAACACCCTTATTACCTATCGTAACTGCAAATCTAATCCACCGATTAGCATCGTGAGAGTAAACAGAATCGATAGGTATATATATCATCACTCCATGATAAGAACTCGCGACTTTATAAACAAAAACAGACATCACAACACGTGGCGCTAGGTAGCAAAAACGGCAATAGGTCTTACCTCTGTTGTTGTCTGATCAAAAGTTGTCTTCAATGGCATTAAAACTATAAAAACGCTGCTGAAGGTTAATCCAATGTGTCTGTGTCACTTTGAAATGATTTCTGATCATCCATAAGCAATAAACCTACTTTTCCGTTTTCAGATTTCAGAGCGTGAGACAGCTTTTGCTCTGGGCAAAACTGTATGCGCATAGCCCCCACTTTTTTTTGGTAATGTTGGTGTGTATGTGGAAATTCCCCTTCGATTCTATTGGCTCTAACGGTCAGAAAGAGATGTCAATCACCAAAATCGAACAATGGGTTCCAGAGAAACGGCAAAAACGCCCATTTCCACCCAAATCACCCCAGAGGTGGAGTTTTTTTTTGCTCTAAAAAAGGTCAAATTTCACTTGTTTTGCATCAATCTTGATACAGGGTACTTATTATATGTTGTACTTTGGATTCCTAAAGCTTTTAGTATACCATCCCATCATTCAAGGGTAGTTTTCACTATAAGTAAAAAAGAAGTTTTGGACGGACACTATAATTTACAGTTTTTTACTACGTTCAATCTGAATTTTCTTTAAAATAAAAAACATCTATATTGATTATGACTTTTCTACATCTAACTCACAGGTTTATCATTACTTTGAGAAAAAAGATTAATAATTGTCCCCTTTTGGAAGGGAAGATATGGTCATTTGTTCTGGAAATGTCATTTTCGAGCCTGAGACCTGAAAAACAGGGATGGGGTTTAACAGGTTAAAGCACTTTTCCTCTGATCCACTTGTTCGTAAAGGTTTAAACACAGCTCTATTTTAACAAAATAAAGCTAATAATTCAGTCTGGGTCTCTGAGCATTGAGGAGTCATCTGATAACATCATCTAGAGTCTAAGGTTATCACAATTTGGTGGGTGTATTGACAGTTGACTAATTAAGACAAATACCACATGGCCTGAGCATAATCTGGGAGCCATGTATCTCTTTACCCCTTCATGCGATAGAACCCTTTGTTGTTGTCGTTTATAAATGTTTGAGAATAAATGCAAATTAAAATGTTCTGCAACATTAAAGTCAACCTAACTTATTATGATAAAGCAGAGCTGTGTTTCTTCCTTGGAATGACTGCTCTGTTTTTGACGCAGTGCATTGAGGCTGCAGCCATGGCGGAGAGGAACCCACTGACACTGGGAAGTCTTACCAGGTTTTGTAAGGCCAACCTGCGAGCCAAAGACAACAAACCGTAGGTCACAGTGACCCTAAGCTGATCTTTCACGCTGATGACAAGGATACATACGGGAGGACAGAATCCGGTACGACACGCCGTAAACAAACCGACAGAGGAGATGAGCTAACAATACAACACCTACTGAAAGCTGAGAATCGGGATTAAAGGTGGGGTAGGTAATTTTGGAGAAACCAGCTTGAGTGCGCAAGAATTTGAAAACACACAGCCGGAAAAAATCTACCACTTCCTTACAGAGCCCCTCCTCCAACACACACGAACGCGCACATGACCAATGAGGGCACGAGATAAGTTTGTGCACAGATGGAAGGCTGACAGGCAGGTAGGCCATCCAGGTATTTTAGCCGGGCCGGCTAAAATGATTGGTCGTGCTTTTTACAGTATTACGGCTTCCAGAGATGAAATGTTTGTATGGATTTTTTGTCAAAGCACTTCAGATATTCATTGCTATCGGGATGTTAAGAGCATTCCATGGAATATAACAACAAGTGTATCTCAAGCCGGTTTCTCAAACTTACCTACCCCACCTTTAACCAATGACGCTGTGACAAAATGCTTCCTCTTGATTTGAAGGTAAAAGCTGTGCTGAACAGCTGTGCTGAACAGCTGGCCCCAACCTAACACAGATATTTGACATTCTGCTACCACTTTGACCAACGCCCAAACTCAAGTCTAGAGAGGGTGGAGCACCAGACTGAATTAAGTTCTGAAGTAAACTGCATAGGATTGATATTCTTTCCAAAGTTAGCAGACATATGATGAAAACACATGTTCCTGTGGTCCCAGTTCAAATGAATAGCCCATGTTATCGATGCGGTTCTAAACAAAACAGTTGCATCCTTACCTTCTGACGTCTGTAACCAGAGCTGAGAAGGGTTTCTCCCAGGCGTACATCTTGATGATCCTGATGCCAGACACCACTTCGTTCATGATGTGGATTCTGTTGTCAGCAAGGACTGCCGTTTTGCTCCTGTAAACAAAGTTTTAAAAATACAGGAATATTAATAAATACCCCACTTTTCCCAAAATTATGAAAAATCTGCGTTACTTTGAACGAAAACTGTCAAATAAAGAGCAAATAGTGCCACCTTGCACTTCTTAAGTTTCTTTGTTGCGTACCTGAAGATGCCAAAGAGCTTTCCAAACACTGTCTGCACAGGCATCATGAGGGCAAGGACTGCCACACCTGCCAGACACGAGGGTCCGATCCGGCACCATAGTAACACGATGATCACCATGGCCTGTAGTGGTCCCAGCCACAGGTAGTGCAGATTCAGTGTAATCTATCGAGACAATTAGTAATCGTGAGCCCAATTCCAACAAGCCTGTATTTCATTTGCAGTGTTCAAACATGGCATAGTAGACACTTAAAATACACACTAACAGTTTATTTTATTCAACATGGTGCCAGTGTTACCACTGATCTAGCCTTACCTCATCAAAACGATTGACGTCATTTGATAAGAGGTTGACGATTCGTCCCGTGGTTGTTTGCCCCATGGATTCACTGCTGAGGCCCAGAGCCTGATGAGAGACAAGTTACCTGTCTGGTAAATAATACTCAAACAATTTCCAGCATATTTATAGGAGTGGAAATGTTGCTTGCCCCATCACTGACCTTCTTGTATATCATGTGACACATGGCCACTCTGATCCTCATGCCTGTTCTTTGGACATAGTAATAGTAGAGATGTTGGAGAATGGTCAGCGCGAACGGGGAGATGGACATGGCAGCTGCGTAAACATACACCATGCGCAGACTCGTCTGCTCGTCATAATTCTCAAAGAACAGGATCACTTCGCCCAGAAGAAGAGGCTGGATAACTTTGATTGCTTCCTTTATGTCAAAGAGGGATACAAATATATTACGACACTGGATGCCATCGGCGAAACTCTTCAACTGCAGTTTCCTACAACTTTCCGTTGTAGTCAAATTACATAACACACTAAATTGCCCGGGCCCCAAGATATTTGGCTGACATGCTTGTCAAATATGCCAAAAGAGATTAGCCATCAGATGTTCTTGAAAAGCTTTCAGTTTAGTTTGAGTAGGATGAATACCTTTGGGTATACCAATCCACTTCTTATCCTCCCCCCACAATGAATTACACTTGGAAAAATGTAAAGTAGGATTAAAATAGCCAGAACATACCAGTGAAAATGTAAACAACCCAGCCATTGCGTATGACATCCCGTAGCACTTAATGAGAACTCCGGTGAGATTTGGCTTCCGGAGCTCCTTCGTAGCCTTTCTGACTTCATGGTCCCAACATCTGCAACATTGAAAATGCAGCATGTTCATTCTGTACAGTAACATAGTGAATTAGTGGTTATTGTTGGCTCCACATGCATGCATACAGACTTAGACTTTTGGGAGGTGTCCAACAGTGCCTCACGGTGATTTAGTACCTGTGTAGTTCCTCTCCCAGCACTTTGGACTGATCCTCTGGAAGAACCCTGTACATGTCATTTTCCTCCAACCTCCTTTTCTGGCCGAGCTGCAGCAACGGGACTAACCAGCTGGAACAGAGGGTTAGAAACACTTAGGGCTGATGTCACTTAAACAGAATATGACTCACACAAGTGTCATTGTATTTTTGTATTGCTTAAGTATTCAATGGAGAGGCTAACACCATTACAGGTTGTGATGCAGATGCTACTTGCAGATACATCCTTTGACCAGTGGCGAACCGTCAGGGCCTTCAAGGTATTCAGAGAATACCCTGACACTCAGATAAAACAAACAAAACATAGATTTAATTATATAAATAAAATGTAATAAAATGTATGTAAAATGAATAAATGAGAATCGTATCTGTGTTGATGATCTGTAATATTACAGTGTTACGTTGATTTGTTTGTCCTTCTCGGACCATGCTCTCCGCATTTCAGTGGGTTTGTGTTAGAAAAGAAAGCAACCAATCAGATCTTGTTCTGGGTCTCTGGGTAGAATATCCTTCAACCAAGGTATTCTACATCCTTGATAGAATGCCCTGGCCGTTGCACTGAATGAGAGCGTACGTTTGGACTGACAGTTTGATCAACCAATCATATATTGATTTGTAGCCAATGGGCGTATTCTTTCAGAGTTTCCCTCGGTTCCAGGGTACTCTAGAACAGTGGTTCCCAAACTTTTTGTGCCCAAGGCACACCAAAGGACAAGTAAAAATCTCAAGGCACACCTATTGTGCAAAATAGCCCTTATAACACGTGTTATCACTCATATCATGTAAAATATCTGTAAATGTGCATAATTATTTACTAATGCCAAATAAAATGTGACAAAGACAACTATATTACTATTTATTAACGAAATATTTCAGAAATTAATTAAAAACGTTATCAAATGAGGCTTCATCAAAGCAGCAACACACTCATTTAAACCAGACATTTCAGCAATCAGCATTGAAACATGTGCTATTGTAAATATTTTTGCCGACTTACAAATTAGTGAGATGCATGTGCCTGTCGGGGCGCGCAGAATTTTTTAATCCTTGGTGGCACTGAGGAGAGGGCCACTCGCAAGTCCTGTTCAACAGAGAGCCGTGACCTCCTGTTGTTCTTCATGTAAACCAGAGTAGAGAACGCCAACTCCAGAGATTGGATCGTTTCTAATTTTTTTTAATATATTACATATTACTTTTTTTAAAAAAAAGAAATATATTACACTACTTCGTTACTATCTACATAAAGTAACTCGTTACTTTACTCGCCGAGCACGTACGAACTGCGCATGCGTGAGTGACAATAACTCTCCTTACCAGCAGGCGGCGGTAGTGTGTATTTGTCATTCAAAACAGGCAACAACCGGAAGACAGAGAAGAAGCACATACTACGTGATATAAACAAACAACAAATAGCGTGTGCGGTAGCTTCACCTTAGCATGTGTTCTTTGCAGGTGTTTGTTGAGGTTTGACGTGGTGTTTACAGCAGTGGATAACAGCTTCTGGCCTGGACACAGTTTGCACCTCACCGTCACATTCCTGTCTATTCTTGAGATGTGGACGCGCAAATCGCGCAGATTACGTACATATAAACCTACAATGTACTGATATAGTAAATTAAAAAATAATTATTTTTGTGTAGTTGTATATTGCAATAATAACGTATGGTTGTCACAAAATCCCACGGCACACCAGTGTGCCGCGGCACACCGTTTGGGAACCACTGCTCTAGAAGGCCCGCTAGTTAACTGGCTCGAGACAGAGGATCTAGATGCGACGAAGCAATTCATGCCGTTTTATTGTTTTTAACGTTGAAATGACAAGTGCAACAGGTGAAGATGAAGTTGTTGCGGAATTGTTGTGAGTACCATTTTCCAGAGGTGTGGACTCGAGTCACAACATCACAAAAGACTTGCGACTCGACTTGGACTTGAACACCAATGACTCGGGACTTGACTTGGACTTGAGCCTTCTGACTTGAGGTGACTTGCTACTTTAATTCAGAGGTCTCCAACACGCCGATCGCGAGCTGCCGTTAGAAGAGCAGACTCCCGTCGGGGAAAGCAGAATCTTCAGCCGCTCCTACTCTTGCTGAGAATCCTTGCAGGCAGGGGCGGGTCTTTATTTAGCTGGGCCACCATGCGGCCAATCATATGCGAGGACACACTAGGATCATACCATTATGTGAAAGAAGGGTGGGGGCACAACATGTGCAGAGCGACGGGGAGACGGGGAGCCGGATTTAAATGCAAGCGCGTCGGAAAAAGTCAAGAAATGAGCGAAAACCGAAAAAAGAAGCAGCATCTGGCTGCTTTTCAATGATATTGGAGAAAGCAAAGCTGAGTGCAGGATTTGTAAAATGAAAATAACCTTCAGAGCAGGGTAACCACTCAGGATTTATTGTCAGAGGTGGGAGAAGTTCAGACAATTAAACAAAGTTACAATCAGGGTTCCCGCGGGGTCTTAACAAGTCTTAAAAAGTCTTAAATTTGATAATCAGAATTTAAGGCCTTAAAAAGGTCTTAAATATGATTCAGAAGGTCTTAAAAATTATCGGATTTGAAAGGTACTTCTATGTTGCGATAGCGTCTAAATGTGTTTTGGGGGAAATGTCCGGGCTGCAAAGTAACCAGTACGGTAATAGCCTTTCAGTTCCCCCCAACAATTTGTATTGAATTAAATCAACATGGAACCAGTAATCACTAACTTTGTTTCCCCCGGCCCCTTATTGGAAAACACCCAGCTAGTAACCTAGCAACCAAGCTTCAGCTCATGTAGCCTATCTTCGAATCTACTTACAAATAAATATGGGGAAGTGTAAGTTCAACCGTATTTGGTTGGAAAACATCTAATTTAGTGCTTGGTTGAAACCAGTGGAGGGAACGTGTTTGAAGCACGCTGCACCTTTTGCAAAATAAATTAGTGTTTGTTTTGCTAATGTAGCGTTAGCTAGTGCAGCAGCAGCTAGTGCAGCGTTAGCTAGTGCAGCAGCAGCTAGTGCAGCGTTAGCTAGTGGAGTGTTAGCTAGTGCAGCAGCTCCCGCAACAACACCGGGGGACCTCCGGGCGAAGTTTGGGTCTACGTCAACCCTAAAAGCGGAGGTGCTGTAGACGCTAAATACCGTAGCTAAACACCAATCATACAACAGCAACGATGAAATAGTGTAGCCAAGGCAGCAGAGCTCAGTCTGAATATAGCTCTTGTCACTCTCTCTCAGAGACACACACACACACACAACACACACACACACACACACACACACACACACACACACACACACACACACACACACACACACACACACACACACACACACACACACACACACACACACACACACACACACTAGGGCTGCTCGATTATGGCAATAATCAAGATTATATGTTGGTCAATAATTAATATCACGATTATTAAATATGATTATTCATTGACTTTGAAAACATCCATTTATTGAACTTTAAAACAGATAATAATTTGAACAGTATCTTTTTAACTGTTGATTACCCTGAACGTATAATTCAACTGAAAAACCAATACAACAATTAATTAAATAAATGATACATTACTAAAAAATTCATTAGATCAAATATGTTGTGGTGCACTGTCACAACCTAGCAAAGCAAAATAATCGTTTTTTACGATTATGTTGTTTTCGTAATTGTGGCAGGCCAAAATCGTAATTGCGATTAAAATATGATTAATTGCACAGCCCTAACACACACACACACACACACACACACTCAAGCGCACACACTCAAGCGCACACACTTACACACTTTTTGTCTAACACGCTAACACAGTTCTGTACTGTTACGCTGTTGTGTTCAGTCATTGTTCTTATGTTGAACATGAATACATTTACTTTGTAAGTGATTATGGGACGTATTTCTTCTTTATATACATTTATTGCCGTGAAATAGGTCTTAAATTCTATTCAAAGTGGTCTTAAAAAGGTGTTAAAAAGTCTTAAATTTGAGTTGGCGAAACCTGCAGGAACCCTGTACAATAAAAAGTCCTGCATTCAAAATGTTACAAGTAAAAGTACAAAAGTATTAGCATCAATATATACTTAAAGTACCACCTGCAGAGGGATCTAGATGCAGGTGTTCTTTTCCCCATAGAGACCGCCTCGCTGCACATTATCCCTTGCATAAAGATAGATTGTGGGTCCCTTATAACATGTTGTACACAGTGGAAATAAACATTCTGGTTACCTCAACATCAGGGATCTTATACATTAAACTCCTTCTGAATCAAACCGTCACGGTAGCCTTACCTTACTGATCCCTCTTAAATTAGAAAAACACACGTTACTTTACCAGCAGAGAGAAAATGGATTATTAAATTATTAATGTGACTAATAAAGAGCAATTTGATTATTAAGTATTATTCTGTTGATCGATGTCATTATATTTGGTGAAAAACACATAATGACTTGTTTATGACTCGTTTTGTCAAAGTTTAGGACTTGACTTGACTTGAACTTGCCCATCCTGACTTGAGACTTGACTTGGACTTGCAAAACAATGACTTGAGACTTGACTCGGACTTGAGCGCAAAGACTTGAGACTTGACTCGGACTTGCAAAACAATGACTTGGTCCCACCTCTGCCATTTTCTAGACGACAATTCAGTGAAAAGACGGACATTATAATGCCGCGGAGGGGTGTGTGTCGTGTGTGTGTCTACAGAAGGTCCAGTTGTGATAGACACAGTTCGCCACTGCCTTTGACAGCAAGTGTGCTTACTTAGGCCTACTTATTTTTCTAATAGATGGATCTGATTAGCTTTACATACATTAATCTGTTAGGCTTTTTTCAATGCATATCACACAGACTTTTCCTTGGCGCTTATTTAAGAATAAGCATTTCATTTTTCGTAAACGCTTAACAAAATATCTCAGAATTGTTGTGTGCAGGTTAGAATAATGTGCATGAAGACCATGAGAGGAGTGTTACACATTTCTGTCTAAAAATCTGTCTGAGGCACAGAAATGTTATGAGGGAGGAAATACCGTTTTTTTAAATGTTATGTTTGTTTTTTTAAGGTATTTGATTCTTTCAGCCTTCTTTGTCTACTAACACCTTAGGGCAGGGGTGCCCAACCTTTTTTTTAACCGAGATCTACTTTTAAAGTTGCCAGTCTGTCGAGTTCTACATTCCAAATAGAGAGACGTAGCCATTACTGACAGCCTACTACCAGGTAAATACACACTTCTACTTGTATAAAACTGACCTTCGTACGATTAATACTTCATAAAATAATGCCTTTATCTTACCTCTTTCTAATCTACACACATACAAGTATTTAACTGAAGTTACACAACAGTGTTGTTGAAACAGAGTTGGAGTTTATTCACACGTCACTACAGTGGGTAATGTTTTCAAGAAACATTGAACAGTGCTGCTACAGGGAAAAAAGAAAAGACTCTGAACCCTTTATTTGCCATTATATAAAAATAGTGTTGCTACAAAAGTATAAATTAGGCTTACTAATAAGACAACTCAGATCTGAAGCTACACAGGAATCTGCTGCCAAAGTGCAATAAATAAGACAAAATTAATATAATCAATTCTAGATTATAAAAAGGAATGCCTTTAATAGGATGCAAGCAACACTAGTTTCTTAACCTGAATTGATAATGGACTATAATCAATTTAAGTTTGCATTCTTATACCATTTTGTACAATAATTATAATGAATAAGTTCAAACAAACTAAAACTTACAGCTGATTAATAACGGTATCCAACTTGAGTTTTTATTATATCAAAAACCTGTTGAAATGCTACCGTTTTTTACTGTCCCCCAAAAGCGCATCGGCAGCCTCCATGAATGCTTCTTTCACAACTTCGCAGTCTTTGAAAGACTTCATGTGTTTCGCAAGAACGTGACTGACACGTTAAGTTGCTATGCCTATGGTAGCAGCCTTGCTCTTGTTGTTGGGCCTGGTGAAAATGGACTGCTGTGCATTTAGCCGTCCTTTCAGGCCCCTCCCCTTTTGGGAGCGTAACTAGGAGGGAATTTCGTCTCGTAGCCTTTGTGCACTGTTTTGAAATGCCGATCCTAAATTACTCTTCTTCGATAAAGCTACGCTCGCATTGCAGATGAGACAGATGGACTTTGAATTGGAATAAATACAAAAATAATCATCCTCTCACTCGGAGTGAAAATTATATATGTTTTGCTTCTGCCATAATTGCGGTCTTGTTTGTGTGCGGACTGTCACTCCTGTTGATACGGACAACGTTAGCGAATTAGTGCACTGCCCACTAGCCACGCCCCGACACATGGGGTCACGGCGGCCAATCACAAAGCTTTGATGCGTCCAAGTGCATTATTCTGGCACAGGAAGATTATGTTACAGGACATTAACGATAAAACAGAATATTGTTGTTCTATTTTTAGACACATCTCGCGATCGACTGGTTGGGCACCCCTGCCTTAGGGCAATGTTGGAATAAGTATTTTGATTTTGTTTCAACATGTAGGCCTACTTTAATTTCAGTGTCTGACAATCTAGAAATTACATCAACTCATTTGAAAGCTGCTCTGCAATTGGATTGTAATGGCTGTAAAATCCTAACTGATTTCCCTATGACCCCAGTCTGCTGTATACAGTTATATATTCCTTGTTTTTGACTCAACACCAGATTATTGTATGAAGGGGCGTTCAAGAAACCTGAATTATGTCAGTTAAACAGCAACTGTGCTATACGGAATCCCAGGATTTCGCATTTTACAGACAACGAATTAACTCTTTGCAGACATGTATTCCCCCTGTGGTGGGTAGGCGAGGGACGGGAACATTTTGTCTGAGGCACAGACATTTTATGAGGGAGGAAATACAGTTTTTTTTTAATGTTATGTTCTAATGTTTTTTTTTGTTAAGGTATTTGCGTCTTTCAGCCTTCTTTCAATTTACCTTAGGGCAATGTTGGAATAAGTATTTTTACTTTGTCCGGAGAACTGCTTGGCTGCAAAAACTAAGAGTGCAGCATCAAGTCACTAAACAAGCGCTCCTATCTGTGTCTGCCCGCTCAGCCAATATCCGGCTATACTGACCAGGACAGGAAGTTAATCTATTCAGGAATCTGAACCAAAACACTAGGCTTGTTTGAGACAAGCGAGACCTGCGCAATTTCGATCAACGTCTTGCTCGTGCGTTGCATGATGGTTAGTCATTTTGTCCGACTTGCTCTGGAGGCCCGCCTACATGAGACGTTGAAATCTCGCGGGACAAAGACGCCCGCAGCCTTGAGAGCGAGGCGCGGCGAGGCGGCGCAGTTCCTCTCCACGGGCTGCGGAAGCGAAATGCTTGATGGGAAACGACTCGCTGGTATCTCGAGCTGAGCGCTCATTGGTGGTTTTTTCCACGTGCTGGTGATGAAACTCTCCAATTGGCTCGGCAAAAGTTTGTTGTTGTTTTGTGTCAGTTTTACGTCGCTACTTCCATTCACATTTTTCATCATTGTTCCACAATATTTATCATCATTAAATTAATATCTATATATTTATACTATACTTGCACTGCTTACCGTTTTCATACTTTATATATCTTAGCATATTCATACACACTGTTCATACTGCTCTCAGGCTGCTGTGTATATCTAGTGTATTCATACCCCTCACTGTTTATTCATCATTCAATTAATTCTATATTTTATTCTGTCTATTGTGTACATTACTTTTCATTTTACTGCTTGTTGCACCTGGTTAGAATCTAAAGTGCATTTCGTTGTCTCAGTACCTGTAATATGGGCAATAACAATAAAGTTGAATCTAATCTTGAGCAGGAACAAATGTATTTACTTAGTACATATCTGACATTAACGATTAAACACATGTGTGCATTCTTTATAAATGCAAACCGAGTCAAGCCGACTCCGGAGGTGGCGGTATGCACCTTAAAGTTGTTTGCAATCGGCCAAAAAACCGAGTGAAGAAGAAGAAGACGACTCCGAGCTGTCAGACTTCAGGCGAGCTTTTTGAGACCTCCCCCGGCTGCGAACGGCTATTCTCGTCTACTTTCGAGGCGAGCCGCAACGCGTCTCAAACAAGCCTATTGTGAGAGTCATGATGATGCGGTGCACGAGGGAAAAGCATCAAGCATACATCAATATAAAAGATTAAATACATCTTAAATGGAGGTCATCTCAATGTGCTGCCGAAGCACAAATGTAAACAGCTTAAAGCAACAGTGTTATACGTGAGGCGTTCTATGTAGTCTAAATAGATTCATTTTATTTATGTGAAGAAAAATGTAAAATTCAATAGGAAATCATTATTTAACTTATCGTTACATTTGTGCTAGAATAACAATGTGTAACTAGTGGAATAACGTAGTGACTGGACATTCCTAGAAGTTGCAGGAAAAATGACTTTGAATGAGTTGCAAGCGAAAAGAAAACTTGGGACAATATGATCAAATGTCAGCTTCCTCGATGGTGTCTCGGTGGGAAAAGAACAATCGGTTTTTTTATTATTTAAGTCGTGATTCTCCAATACAAGTCTTCAGGTACAAAGTCTTCAGGTACAAATAACAAGTGCTTTTGAACAGGAAACAACATGTCAATGCAATGAAAACACGTTTGGATAATGACGAGAGATAACAATAGCTTACCACAGGAAGAGTTTTGATAAACAGCTGGCAGAGGACAGCGGGTTGTCGGTTTCGTCTTTTTTACTAATCTCCATGATTATTTGGCATCAGTTCTGGTGCTTGGCTCCGGCTGACACTCCGCCTCGATAGAGACGCACGCTGGAGGGTCCTCGCACACCACATGACGCTCCCCACCATCCACGCGCTCTTATTCACGTCTCGTTGAGACTCAGCCAATACGTGCTCGAGGCCGGGCGTCATCAAGTGCTGTTAGAAGTATCTAAATTAGATCAACTCCACCACACAAAGTGCAAATGAGGGTGCAAATGAAAGTGTTTTCTCACACTTTGGGATGTAGCGTTTTGTGCGTGGAAACTACAGAGAATGTGTTATAATAGTGGATATTTAGTTAGGCTATAGCAGTGGTTTTCAAACTTTTTCTGTCAGGCACCCCCCTTTGGAGAAAAAAAAAAGTCGGGCCCCCCCCCCAACACAAATAGTCAAGTTAACATTTATTAAAATACATCAATATGAACGTGTGCATTCCTTTGCTAGAACAGTGATAATAAAACAATGCTCCATAAGTCTGTGTCGTCAAAAAATAAATACATAATACAATTGTGCAATCCCTTTGCTAGAAAAATAAATTATAATACTTTGCCACTTTGCAATCTGTGCAAAAAAATTATGATTATGATTTTTTTTTCAAAACCATTTTTCCTCCTGGTCTCTCGCCAGGTCATGTCAGGTCGCCCTGTCACGCCCCCCACTTTGAGAAACACTGGGCTATAGTCATGTTTGAGCATGTTTCACCGAAAAATCATGTTTTCGAGCAGCGTCTTCTTGGAAACGTGCCCGGGGCTGTGTACTCAACAGTGGTAATAATATTGACGGTGGAATGTGGCCAATTTTATGTCCATCGCACCACCACCATAGTAGCCTACACACGAAACATGACTGGGGTTGTTGCTAGGCTATTACAGCCCACTCTCCTCATGACAAAACAATATTTAAATGGTGAATGGAGCGGTACTGGAGCATGTGATCAAACCGGATCAAACCCATGAGACGTGAACAATATATTTTGTTTTGCACCCTGAGAGGATAACTGTTTCCTGTGACCCACTTTACTGTGATCATGCTAAAAGGGGGCTCCCATTGTCGTTACATTGGACGTCACATTTTAGTAGCAGCTACACTGAAGATGTAAATGCTGATTGTTTTTACAGATTTTAGTTGAGAAACTAAAGCTGAAATTACTGATGGAGGGCACTGCATTGATGGGTCACAATTGAATCCACTGAAAGACATTCCATAATAAGTATAGAAGCTAATACCACTAGGAAAAAAAGGCTATCAGCTTTAACAGGCTCACATATGCAGTAAATGCTGTTTTAAAACCAGCACTTTAAAAAACAATTTCAAAAGTTGGGGTTAAAAGACAGAGGCGTTCCTCTTTGCAGAAAATAGACACCTTTATCCAAAAAGACGTTTTGGAAACATGTATTAAGTTAGCTTGAAGATCCAGTTAGCTGGGGGCCTGTATGCATCTAGTTAGTAGGACTGCATTTACATCTGATGGAAAACCAGTTTATGGAACATTTCTGAAAACGGTATAATTTGTCTTGTTAAATCATTGTATAGTATTTTTGTTTTGTTTGTGTTTTTCTAAAAGTGGGGAATGATAGTATGTTATTGATAAGTTATCAATTAAAAACAAGTGTATCGTTTCTATATTCCTTTCTATGAAACATTTGCTGTTCCCATAAGCCACCAATAGAGGGCACTAAAAGTCCATTCTTAAAAAGCAGTTATCCTCTCAAAACTAAATAGGAGTTTGCAGTATTGAGTATGATTCCAAACTTTCACAAGATGCAAGGGAATTCCACATTTAAAACTTGCATTGTTTTAATAATCTTTAACCTAAATAGAGTACATCCCATTCAACTACCAGTGTCCATTTTAAGCAAAGTGGTTTTTAAGGATTAGCAAACACATTACATGCCATTTGTTAGACGCTTTTATCCAAAGCGGCTTACATGCTACTGGACAATCCCCACAGGAGCAATTTGGGGTGAAGTGTCTTGCCCAGGGACACAACGACATGCTGACTGCAGTGGGACTCAAACTTGCTATCCCCTGATTCGAAGTCCAGCACACTACCCACTGAGCCACAGCCTCCCTTGAGGGAGACACACTGCCATCAAACCTAATAGGAGTCTAAAATGTTTAAACTTTCCATGTTTACTTTGACAAATTCAACGGTTCAGGTCCAAGCCTACCTTCCATAAATCAAAGCTGTTTCTATTGGCTGCCCATCTGCATGTGAGCAGTCTCCCTGCATCCCTGGGCCCCAGCTGCTGCTGTGTCACATCTTGTTTACACCAGGGGCCACGGCTGTGTTTGACCTAGTTGTTGAAAAGCCCCAGAGGCAAAGTTGAAAACAAACTACACAGACACAGAAAATGTGGGGAAATGACAGAAGCCATTTTTTGGACAGACATGAAGGACATTTGTCAGTTACTTCTAGAACAATAACTGAATGGGCAGAAAGGTCAGTTCAGGTCTGGGCAGGCAGGGTTGGCATACAAAATGGAAATAGCACATATGATCCTTGAAAAGTAAAGCCAGATGATGTGGAGTCCATTTAAAGATGTTATCTTTCCAAAATGTGGCCAACTCCCAATATCTGAGGACTTGTGGTCCTCACAAAGACAGATGTACACAGGTCAGTGGTTGGTGATGTGAAGCAGTTTCCATTCAGTTTAAGAGTCCAGACAGAGAAGGGACCAATGTCTCCTCCCAGTTGTGTGAAGTCCCACCTTTAATGTTCAACAGAGAAGTCAGTGAGGCAGCTACTGTCATTGGCTGGGAGATTCCTGAGTCACGTCCTCGTTCTTTGGTAAACTGAGCAGCTCCTGGATCCTCTGCATGTCCTCATTGGCTTCCTCTGCCTGAGAGCCCACGTTCAGATCCCCGATCAGTTCTTCTGTCACGTTCAGTCGGTCCGTCCTTCAGGGAAAAGAAGGAGAGGGACAGGTGACTTGAGGATAACACCAACTTCGAATTAACATTTTTAGTTTTAATGCTAATATCCTATAAAAAGTGTAAAAATAATGTTAAAGTCTTCTGATATATCTCACCATTCTGCGAGTTTAAGATCGTACAGTTCCCTGCGCTCTCTCCTCCTTCGGTCTCTGGAATTGTCTCCTGACGATCAGAGCGCCACTGGGCAACCTGCGAGGGGGAAACGCAAATATCAAAAATATATGAGAACACAATTCCAAGCAGAACAAAAATCTGTATACTTCTAATGTGTGGGCACACCAGGTGATACATATATGTAATGTAACATCTATGGTTGACACTTTCCTGGACATGTCAACACTGAGGACACTGGGTCTGTAATAGATTCCTGAAACACTTCCTGCTATAGTATAATCTGTTTCACATGTGAGCAGCTACTTTATTGGCAACACATTTAAGCTGTCTGTTATTTGCTGTTATATGTTATATGTTGTTATTTGTTATATATTTTTTAACGTTTTATTGAAAAACAGGGTTTCCCACACATAGACTATACTTGGGCGGGCCGCCCAGGTATATTAACGGCCGCCCAAGTATTTTTCTCGACCCATTTTTTTTTTTTTTTTTTTTTATTCGTCCGTGACCACGACGCCATCTGCGATCGATTAACTTGTAGACAATGATCCCTCGCTCCCTTGCTCTGATCTCGCCTCCTTCTGGCCTGTTAAGTGGCCTGCCTCACACAGGGTGACTGGCTGTCCACATGATGTGGCCTGCCGACATGGCCACTGTCATACAGATCATAAATCAAAGCCCTTGATTGGTCTCTGTGTGTCATTCAAGCTCGGGATAACCTCAGCTCAGGTGAGGTAAAGGACTCTCTGAGTGTTTAGATAGTTAACTTAGTCTAAGTTCTCAGTGGGTCTCAAACGGTGTGGTCACCATTTATGTAAACACATATTTCCATTTGAGAGGGTAGTGATTGGTCTAATGGAGAGTGAGGTGGGCTGAAGATCGGAAGGCTGTGAGTTCAAATCCCGCCAGGAACACCACCACTAGTGTGCCCTTGAGTAAGGCACTTAGCCCTTAGTTACTCCAGGGAGAATGTCCCTGTAATCGGTCATTATAAGTCGCTTTGGATAAAAGCGTCAGCTAAATGAAATGTAATGTAATTAGTAAAATATGCATGAATAAATAAATAAAAAGTTAACTAGGTGAAAAAAGGTAAGATACACTTTTAAAACTTGTTGAGAGAAAACTAGTCTTTGCTGCTGCCTCAAAGAGGAGCAGAGGGAGAGGATGGAGAGGGGGGAGAGGAGGGAGACAGGAGAGGCTGGTTCAGGAGCACAGACACACTCACAACTATAAATGAACCAAAAATTAATAAACAAGTTTCAGTGTTTTGTTCATATTGGAAATGGTATGTTATTGGTTATGGCCTTGATTTTATGATTATTGAAATGTATACAGTTCTGTTAAATATAGGTGTTTCCATAGATCTAGTCTCTTTATTTCCCCCTCAAAATGCACCAGATTGATGCATTTAACTCCAAAATAAAAAATAAAATCTTACCGGGGGGGCATGCCCCTGGACCCCCCTAGAGGATTTGAGGTCGACCCCCACTAAAAATCACATGGATAGGTTCCTAAATACATTAATATATACATTTATTTTTTTAAATAGTACCCATTTCCATATGCTCATGTGTGGGTAGTAGATTTAAACTATAGGGCTATCATTATGGGCCCTGCCTGTACCTGTACCTGTTCGCTCTGCCATCGCGTGAAGGGTCTGCTAACAAGCGACCAACAGAAAGGTTAATGTTGTTGCACGTCACCTCAACCCCCCCCGCTACCACCACCCCCCAAAGTATATTTCAGATCTGTGGGAAACACTGGCAGTTAATGGACCAGCACCAGAGGCGTTCCCATACACACAGGCGTTGGAGCTGTTCTTCATGAAATCCCAGAAGGATGAAGTGCTCTGACAAACAGTGCCATCTTTGCGCAAAATGATTATACCGGAATGAAAAGTCAATAAATAATGTTGTTAAAACTTTTGTTTCCCCCCCCCCTTGCCACCACCCGCCCAAGTATATTTCATATCTGTGGGAAACACTGAAAAACGTTTAAACATAAAAAAGCTCGGTGAGGATATCATCAACTTATCATAAGTACAAGACATTCATTCACAATAAGACAAAAAAAACATAA